ACTGTAATGTATATATCAGGGTCAGAATTTTTTTTTTATTGTCGTTCGCACCGCATCTGGTACATGTGGTGGAATGAAATTATGTACACAAGGTCCCAGTTGCATCAACAATAAAATGTAAAGAAAAACAGTAATAGGATCTAAGATATGAGCTAAGAAAAACATCAACTAAAAATACGCTAAATGCTAATAGCATAAAAACAATATTCTGGCTCAGTGAGACTAACCTGTATGAACAAAGGTTGAATGAATACACACACACAAATATATACACATATATATATATATATATATATATATATATATATATATATATATATATATATATATATATATCGTCTGCTCACACAGACTCATGTTCATGTTTGTGCTGATGTTCGAGGTAATGTTTCTATGTTATGAGTGCTTAGTGTATATTTAGTTGATGTTTTTCTTAGTTTATATCTTAGATGGTATTACTGTTTTTCTTTTACATTTTATTGTTGTATGTAACTGGGACCCTGTGTATATAATTTTGCTCCACCACATGGACCACATGAGGTGCGAATGACAATAAAGGAACTCTGACTCTAATATATACTGAATGTGTATATACGTATATACTGTAAGTATATACATATACATATATACATATATATATATATATATATATATATATATATATATATATGCCGTAATCAGAGAAAATGTGATAGACAAGAGTAAAATGAGTTGAGTAATGTGCTGAAGAGGAAGCAAATTTAACAGCAACAAAGATTATTTCTGCCACTACCTAAAATGAAGTTGTAATCCAGATTATGTATGTAAATCATAGATTATGTTTTGTGGCATAAACAGTAAGTGAAAAAATATCTGTGTAATTTTGTAGATCTATGAAAAATAAATAAATTAACTCAAGAGGTGAAACATTTTTACTAACAGAGTGTGAAAGCGAGGTGAAGGGATGGAGAGTGACACATGACTTATTGAGTCAGTGGACAAAACACCAGTTTCTGACAGAAGTGTGACTTCTGTATAAAGACATAGGTCTGACTTTCCATCTGAGTCTTTTCCCACATATATTTTACATTTTCATTCGAAAATGTAATACCTGTACCAATACAAGTGTTTTATTTACCATTTTTGAAATTAGCATTTTCTCAGGGTCTTCTATCTGGTAGTATTTGTTTTTTTTACCTCTATATTTACAATAAGTATGTCATTTCGTCTCTCAGTTTTTTTAATAGCTTAAAGTAAAAGCATAGTATTAGAGTTTTACATCACAATCATAGTTTTTCTCCAAGTTCAGCTGAGTCAGCTGGATGACAACACACTTGAACTAGAGCAAACCTTACATCCATTTTATTGCTGAAAGACAAATAAATCCTGTCTGGGGTTTCTCCCCCACTTTGCGCCTCACACTTTTACCCCTTTCCCTGTTTTCCTGAATAATTTTTTTTCTTGTTTTTTCTGAGCTGTGAGGGTGAATGCCTCAAGCGAACATCAGTTTTTATAAAAAGTCAAGTTCAAGATGCATCATGAAACAGAAACTAAGAGTGTCTGAGCGTGGAGAACTTTAGTTTTGTATAAAAATGTGGGGAATATCTCTTTAAACTACAGTTTAATTGTCATTGGTTAATCTCTACAATAGTGAAAATATAAAATATTTAGTTTAAGAATTTGCTTAAATTAATTGTCTGACATGTAAAAGACTCAAGTTCAAGCAACACCAAGTGAACTTTTTTTTGTCATTTGACACTATTTTTACAGCATTCGGTAAAATAAAAAGCAAAGAAGAAAGAAACAGGTTTGTTAAAAGCTAGAAACGCCACATGATTCAGATTTAACACAATCTTTGGATGAGATGCAGAACATTTTTAAGAAATAAAATAAATGCAATCGCCTTTAAGTTGGATTGCTAAGATTATTGACACAGAATTGACACCACATAGAAGAAACAAGTATTGCATCACAAGCAGACGGAAAAATAAAAGCCTTTAAGTGTTCCCTTTTTGCTCAGACCCTGAGATCAACAGACTGGCTGCAGATTTTCACATCTGTGAGTGGAAATTGGGGCCTCACATCAACGGATGTTGGGACCTGGTGACGTTGCTGGTAGCCCAAAGCGTGGGCTATATAATACTGGCATTTGCCGTGGAGGGGCAAGCATGGTCTGGAATAACAATTAGGTGGGTGCGACAGTCAATCTTCCATCTGCATAAACGTTAGGAGCCATTTACCACCAGCACAAGACATTTTCGTAAAATTTTTATACAGTATTTTCTTGAGCATGTGATTTTAACTTGTGTGCATGCAGCAGTTTTTAAAACCCACTTTAGTCACCTGATGGCATTTTAGCTGTTCAGCACAATCAGCTAAAAATCAAAAAACAATATTTAATATGCGTAACGTGACAATAGGAAAAAACTTAGTGAGGTGTGCCTGCATCACAGACACCAGAACAACTTAAACCACAAGCAGAGCACAATTCCACAACAGCTAAATTAAACTTAAATGCAAAAAATTAAAATAAATATCAGCAAAAACATATTCTTCATTGTACATTACATAAATCAAATCTGTAGCATAAAGCCTGTGTGGCTGTACTCATGACTCAACGTTGTGTTTGTTCAGCGAGACGACAGGGACAGACTGCAGATTGAACATACACAGTCAGAAGTACATGTTTTTAATCACCTTAATTTGGTTAGTCCTTAAAAAAATTGTTTTGAGCCACTCTAAAACTGTTTTTATTTTAAAGTTTGAGTCGCTGATCCGATGTTTGGCGAACAAACCCTATTTTTCGATCTACTATTTTTTGGGAGGGACTTTGTGGCCAGAGCTGTAAAACCTCCTGCTGCCAAGTTATTGATGTTGTAAATAGGAACACACTTACAGTGAAGCAGCTAAATGAAGTGTCGCCATGGAGACTGACAGCCACTTGTTTTTCCTGTCACCCAGGCAGTGTGGATCTGTGGATGGTGATGTCTGGTTGCTGGTCACTCTAATGGTCCAGTCTCAGATATCTCAGTTAATTGAAGCAGTAGGAGGAAAGTCACACACACGAGAATAAAACTGTTTGACTTTACCGTTTCCTTGTCTTGTCTTTATTGCACTATGAAGTAAACAATGTTAGCATTAATGGAATACATTCAGTTATTACAGAGCTTGGCATGTAAAGTGAGACAGGTATTTGTTGAGACCAGTAGACGCCTCATATAGGCATAAAATATCATAAAAACGTTCATTAATCTCAGAGATGAAGGATCCTGATGACTCATGTTTCAAATAGTACCAAGTTTATAGGGCAACACAAATAATTGTATTATTTAATGTTAAATTGTTCCTTCTTCAGTGGAACAATATTTTTTTGTTTATGTATTTATTTATTTTTTTTTTTTCACAAAGGCTTCAAATATTCCCATTCCAGTAAAGTTTCTTTTTTTTTAAACTAATACATTTGGTGCATTTTGACATGCCAACACAGACTGGAAAATAAAATGAATTTGCACACAGTTTGCTGTAAATAAACAAACAGATTTATATTTTTCCCTGCATGTTTTTGATCAGGTGGGTGCGACAGTCAGTCTTCCGTCCATATAAATGTTAGGATCCAATGGTCCCAGTTTTCTTCTTCCTGCACGGTGGAGCTGGCGAGCTCTGGTGAGGCACAAATCGGACTTGCACACCGCTGCAGACTGTGTGACATACAGGATGTATGTTAATGTAACATTATAATCAACTGTTCAGAGAACGCTTTTTTAAAAATCTCATCACACTATTTTATAATAAGACCCTCCAAACATTCCTATTTTATTGTGTTTTTATGATTAATATAAGTTACATCTGTTTTTCCAGTAGCGTTTGGAAAATAAATAAAAAAAACTTATATGTGCTTTTAACCCGCAGGATCAACCTCTGTCTGATATCTGCTTCCGTAGAAGGTGTTGCACAATCACAACATCCTCTGTGAGATAAGATAAATGTTTCCTGCATTAAAAAGCTCACAACATTTTTGTGCAGCTTCTTGTCTCATATTGAGTGTGGGGTGCAGATAGTGTCATCACAGTGACATATAACTTTACCACCAAATGTTCAGTAAGCCTTAACAAAACATGCAAGTGTTCATGAGCACTATATTATCTTTCAATACTTCGGCAGTGCATGATGTTTTATTTAAATATGAACGCTAAAAGTGCTGTGAACATTCATTAACAACGTATTTAGACACGTCTTCCTGTACTTATCATGGAGTCCCTCAGCGCCCCTACGACCCACAGCGTTGACTGATGTAGAAAAGTCATAAAACATTGTGGCAGAGTCATTAACATGCCAGTGGTACAGAAAATTTCCCCAACTTTTACCTATACCAAA